TAAGTATACTCAGAAACTTAAATCTCAATCGTCACTAAAGATGTGTTGCAGGACCTTGCCTGGAGCTACCTATGAGTGACAATTCCTGTCTGTTTAATAGAGGCTGACTGGGAAAAGCGGATCAGGATCCAGACCAGCCTCAGACAGGGCACAGAATGATTAACTGACAAACTTTGTATCTCTTAAAACCTGGTGGCAAACTGTAGACTGGAGCGCCAGGTAATGAGGATGAAGGCGTTTCATGAAGGCAGTCAATGCATGCACAGGCCATCTGCCCTATCCTTTTACAACACTCTGAGCATCCTTCTTGAGTTCAGGTGACCCTAAATGACTTTGCTAAATTGAGATACCAACCATGATGCTGTACTTGCCTTCCTGCTCCCTCAACATATCTGCTTCAGATACCCTAAAGTTTCCTTTCACCTCATTTTTAGGGGATTTGCCTTGTTCTCAGACCTGAGGCCGTACTGAATAAAGAGGCTTCGGATTTGTGTTCCTCTGGAATTAGGGATGCGAGAGTCGTGCGGGAGAGCAATGAAGATATCGGAGAGAGGATGTGCTGGCGTGTCAGAGGCAGCTGTTGCAAGTCATCCAAGGCCTAATATGGAGAAATAGATCTATTTTAAGAAGAAAAAAAAAGTGCACATGATAGGTTTTAGATGAAAAATAATTTGGGAGTGATATTGAAAATGATATCACTCCTGCTGCACTTCAGTCTTGCCAAGCGCATTCTATAATTAATAACTACTTCAGATGAAGTGACTTTCTTTTGAATGTGCAGTATTAAACATTTAAATCCCTATCTGTAAATATAAGACTGTGGCAGATATCTCCATAAGCCTTGCAGCTACATGCTAATGTATATTTATATTCTAGATAGGTATTTTTAGTAAGAACTACAAGTTCTTTCTGTATTTGATTACATCAGAGCTCTGTTTTACATTAAATGTCTGGACTGCAGAAATATCCCCTTTTTTTTTCTTCTCTTGGAATTTTGCAGTGATTTCTACCCTTGTCTTGTCTCCTTTTCTTTCATGCCCACCTGGGTTAACGCACCTTCCAAGAAGACTGTATGCTTTTTGTTTTCCCCTTCTCCCTCCCTCCCAAAAAAGACAAAATATATAAAATTAAAAGAAATAAGGCAGCAAAACAGCTCCTGGTGTTTCCCACCTGGCAACTTGAGCCAACCTGCAATCAGGGCACGACAGGATAACTACCACCACTCATGGCTACACATGATGTGACCAGTGTCCTGCTGTGGAAAGCAGCTGCAAATGATCCCTGCTGGAAATGCCAGTCCTCTAAGTATTAATCGTGCTGTTTGTGTAGCTTTGCTCTCCCACAGCACCACTGATGCTTCTGTGGGATTCTTGCTCAAGTCAAAGCAGCAGGATTGAACCTGGCTCCTGATCCAGCCCAAGCCAAAGCTGGGTGTGAACTGTGTTTCCAGAGGATGAACTATCTTTTGAAATGTTCACTCCACCTTCAAGGCTTGTGAAGCCCACAAGGAAAGGCCACGCAAAGCAGACATATCATCCTGATGGTTGACTGGAGGTGGGACTCAACACAGTATGTTTGAATATCCTCACCAATGTGGGTCTGCAAACATCTCCCTGAAAGTTTACTCTCTGTAGTGCTTTACTCTTTAATTTCTAGATGGATGAAAGCATTTGCAGATTTACAACTGAAAGCAGGTGATGCAGATCAGGGCAGCACATCTGTAGGGCTACACATCTGTAGGACTACCCCACATTTGTAGAAGGTCTGGAAGTTGATGGAAAAGGCAACCTTTTTGGCCAGATAAAGCATAAGGCAGTGAGGAGTGCTCTCAAGTCCTGAGATAAAGTCTCTGGACGTGCACAGAATGACTGCTAGCAAGGACAAGCCCCCAGAGGGGCAGGTAAAATCCTTCAACACAGCAACAGCAGCGCTGGATGCCGCCTGCTGCGAAGCCTCATCCTGCAGGGCCAAGAGGCTGCAAGTCTTTTTATGGCCCTTTGGAAACACGTCTTTCTCTGTTCTATTTTATTCAGCCTATATTTAAACTTCTCCCGCTGTATGTCCACTCGACCTAGTGACGCAAAAGTCTGCCAACTCCTTTGAATCCCCTGGCAGTGTCCTGCATTTACCGGGGCAGTAGCGCTTGCTGGGTTTAACTCCTAGGGACCAAACAGCAAGAATAAATAAAAGCAATAACTAAAGCAGCATCAAATTAGACTTTGCAAGGGCTCCCAGTGACAACTGTGGCTTATGGCTAACACTGTGTGAACAGATGAATATTAATGCAAAAGGACATTTTGTACTCCTGACATTCTGTGTGAAGGGCTTTTCACCTCACCTAATCTAGGAACATATTACAAATGCTTTGAAGCTAAATCCTGCCTTTGACTCTGCTTTGGCTACAGCAGAAGCTCACAGCACTAGTGATAGAGCCACGTTAACAGGCAAGTCCCAGGTGACAGCAGACCTGCAGCACAGTGTGATGCAGGATGCTCACAGCCAGCGCCAGTGACACAAGGAGGGCAGTGGTCCCCACCCACAGCATCTTTGCAGGGCTGAGTGGATCCCAACGGGTTGCCTCCAGCTGCCTGTTTGCCTTGCAGCACTGAGCTCAGTCACTTTTTCTTTGCTTGCTGCAAGAGAAGTTGCAGTATGAAAACCCCCGGTTCCCCCTGTGCGTGTCCCAAATGAGCCTCCTGTAACCACTGGATAGTACTATACCTTTCTGCCACCCTTCTCCCCCTCCTCTTCCAGGGATAGCCTTAAATCTAGTTCTTCCAAGGAGTATTTTTGCACTCTCTTGCTGTCCTTTTCTGTAGCTTTTCCCCTCTCTGGCACAGGGCAGTTTGGGAGCTGCATAACCAGCCTGAGACATGCCCTCCCTGCAGCCTGCACTGCCCCATCCGCCCTCCCTCCCTGGGTGACAGTTGAGCACGCAAGAAAGATGCTGCGGGTTGAAAACTGGAGGATCCAACTTTATTTACTAGATTCTCACCCAGAAGGGAACCCTCACCCTCCCAATCCCTCTGTATCCAGACCCTGCCTCATCTCCATGCGCAAGAGATGGAGGAAAGTTCAGCCCACGTGAGCACAGCACAAGACTCTATGACCAGCATGGAAAGGCTGCTGGGGACAGTGACCTACTCCAAAGCTTGAACCCAGAATAGAAAACGGGATCTGATCTAAGGGTAGCAAGGATGATGGTTTGCTTCTGGCATGACACATCATACTGTTTTTGAAGCAGGGAAACAGAGAACAGATGAGTGGGAAGCAGAAGCTGGTGCTCTGTGTCTGCAAGGCTGGGTATAATATCAGTATTTGAGTAACTCCCAATCATTATCCTCTCAATGACGTTTTTCCCCCACAGACCTCAGCATTGCAAGGGTGTTTCAGGGAAGCTGTCACTGTTATAGTGAAGCACAGTGCATTTCAGCTCCAAAACAAAGGGCTCATCATCCTCCTGAGCCCCAGGCTTGCACAGGGCCCTCTGCCAAGGAATGCGATGCCTTGTCAGAATTTTCCTGCAAATGATACTGAGATCGATCTTGAGAAAAAAATTACCTCTGTGCAGTGAAGAAAAAGAGCCCCCCTGCTTATTTCTTTGGCTTCCTGGCTGATGTCTTACGGAAACAGAGTGGAAAATGGGAGAAAAAAGGAGAGGAAAAAAGTGGAGAAAAACCAGATGTTGACACAGAGGAGGTTGCAAGGATGGCATGAACACACAAGGATGGTGCATGGGATGTACCCATGCTGCACCCTGCCCTTGCTCTTGCAAGTTGCCTCCTGCTCCCCTGGACAAGCCCTGGCAATAGGAACATAGCAAATGGCAAGTTCCTCGGCTCTCCTTCACCAGAAAGGGCTGCGAGCTGGGCACGCCTGACTCATTTGTATCTGCTTCCATGCCATCTGGTTTTACAGCAGATAGGGCATCAAAATTGATCTTACAGCTGCTCCAAGGGAGAACGGAGCAAATGCCCAGCTGTGACCCAGTAGCACTGTTAACTGATGTGAGTAAAGCCATTGGCTTTTCCCAGAGTCGAGGGTCTGGGATAATCATCACTTTCCCTTTCCTACAGTCCCTGCTGTGAAGGGATGGGGGAGGGCACTGTAACAGAAGAAGTTGCTTGAAATGGTCTGTAAAACATCTGGGAAGGGAAATCTGGGAGCTCTGATTGCAACCCGAGCTCAGGCAAAGGGTTGCTGAGGGTTTTGGCTAGTCAAACTCCCAAATTTGTTTTTGCAGGTGTAATTTGCCCTGGTCTGTTAGTCCAAGGCATGTTTTGAGTTTCCAGAAATACAACCCATCTCAATACATGAAGGTTGAGCCCTTTTGAACTCATTCCATAGCTTATTCTAGACAGAATTAAGTGCCAGTTCTCTGCAACTGCAAGCCACACTCTGCTGAGCAGATCGTAAGTGGGGACCAATATCCATCTGCTGCTTTGACTCAGGAGATGGCACCAAAAGTGGAAAGAAAAGAAGCCAAGCTCCTGCTGGAGGGTTGCAGGATATTTCAGGGGTTGTGCACAGGGATTTAATAGAGGCACACAGGCAGAGGTTGTGTGGGAGTTTGGGGAGACTCGGGGGAAAAAAGCGCTGTCCACGTCCAGTGTGCATTCAGCCTCTGCTCTTGCTGAGGATGATGCCAGAACCCCAGCCTTGATGGCACTGCCCAGTCCCTCCTCCTGTGCAGAGCTACAGTGCTCCATCCACTACTGCTGCCCACAGAGGAAAGCTGGAGGAGGAGGTGTGGGTCCTGAGGACCAGAAGTAGCTGAAGTTGAGGAACATCTCCTTAGCGGTTGGAAACTGGAAATTTGAGGGTTTTAGGTCCAGGTGTCCAAATTCTTGTATCGAATCCACTTGATTTCGCAGCATTAAACATCGGTGAAGCCACACATCAGCGAAGACGGTTATTCCCAAGGCATCTAAGAGTTCATGAGGCAGCTTGGCAGAGAGAAGCGTAGAGGTGTTTTGACTGGAGCATGGGCACTTGTGACATTACAGAGCGCACTGGAGAAGCATGCCAGCAGCCAAGGTCATCAAACTCAGTGCTGCAGAACTGCTTTCCACCCCATTGCTGCTCCTGGTGTCATCAGTGCAGAGGTCGGTGTAGCAGCATGTCTTGGGTTTGCTCGCCCCTATCCCATCATAGGAGAGGCATTCCTCCTCACAGCTTCTGGTCACGGTGATGTTACCAAAAAAGGGGTAACCTGAAACAGGCAGATTGGAGAGGGGGAGAAGGATAAGAGAGAGAAATAAATGGTAAAGGAAGGTTGCAGACAGCTGGCATCGAGAAACACAGACTTTGTGCAATGGAGGGGAATTAAAGTAAATTGTTTATAGGTAAATAAAGGCAAATAAGGTGTTGAGCATCTCTAATCCATGGGTGCCTATAATCCAGACAGCTCTTTGTAGGAACAGATCCACCAGTTCTTCCTGCTGGCCCCCTCTCGCCCTCCTTCCATATTTATTCTAGCACACACAAGGGACACAAGCCCCTGTCTATTTTGTTCAGGTGAGTTGCCCCTGCAATGGCTCTGCATAGAAGGTGACAGTGCCAAGAAGCACTGGTGTAATGCTGGCATGGTCACTGGTGAGACAGTTGGTGTCAGGTGAAAACATCTACAAACAAGGAGAGAGTCCCTGGGTTTCTGTAGTATGTTTGCACACATCTATAGGTTCAGGGTTCATAAGGGTGTGGGGGTAGGAAAGGCAAAACAGGCAGAGTGAGCAGAGTGAGTCCTGTGTACTTCATTATGAGGCTCTGAATCTGATGGATTTCTCTCCTTTCCATTCTGAAGCTGGATAACCCCACCTGGATTCTTTTAGAGAATTTAAAGGATAATCCAAGCTGGGACCAGGAGGTGGAGAGGGAAGCATGACCAGCAGGTTGAGGGATGTAATTCTGCCTCACCACTCCTCTCTGGTGAGACCCCCCCTGCAGTCCTGCCTTCAGCTCTGGGGTCCTCAGCACAAGAAGGACATGGACCTGTTGGAGCGAGTCCAGAGGAGGCCACAAAGATGGTCAGGGGGCTGGAGCATCTCTTCTATGAGGACAGGCTGAGCGAGTTGGGGTTGTTCAGCCTGGAGAAGAGAAGGCTTTCTTGCAGTCTTTCAATACTTAAAGGGGGCCTACAAGAAAGATGGGGAGGGACTTTTTATCAGGGAGTGTAGTGATAGGATGAGGAGTAACAGTTTTAAACTGGAAGAAGGTAGATTTAAATTAGCTATAAGGAAAAAATCCTTCCCGGTGAGGGTGGTGAGGCAGTGGCAGAGGTTGCCCAGAGAAGCTGTGGCTGCCCCATCCCTGGGAGTGTTCAAGGCCAGGTTGGATGGGGCTGTGAGCAACCTGGTCTGGTGGGAGGTGTCCCTGCCCAGGGCAGAGGGGCTGGAATGAGATGATCTTTAAGGTCCCTTCCAACCCAAACCATTCCATGACTCTGTGATCCCTCCCCGCGAGCACTCACAGCAAGCAACGACACTTACCTAAGTCTACGGAGTGCAACGTTGTTGTGCAGACGGTGGCTTTTGGGGGGCACAGGGTAGGTGTTCTGCACTTAGCGATGTCCGTTGGCTCCTTGCACGTGTAACATTGTAGGGACTGGGCTGCAGAGAGGAACAGAATGGGTCTGAGGTGGTCACAGCAGCAAAGACAGACAGCAAATCTGCGGCTTCTCTGCTCTGTAGTGGGGATTATGTGACAGTCAGTGCTTCGTTCCCCCTTGACCAGGATGCAACGGTCTTGGAAATGAAGCACAGCTGGAAGCAATGGCAAAGCTTGAATATGTCAGGGGGGAAAGACCACACCTCAGCACGAAAGGACAAGGATGGTGTTGCGGGAGTTGAGTATAATCGCTACCTTGGGGACACAGCAGCCCAAAAAGAGCAGGGATCTAGAGGGATCTATTGCTTGAGCAGCTTTGATAGGATCTTTGCATCCTCTGTAAAAAATGCTATAACACAGAGCAAAATAGCTTCTTCTGTTAAGAGCAACATTCACCACACTGAAAGACTGTCAGTTCCCCCGTCCCTCCACCTGCAGTAACAGCTCCTTCATGCTCGTTTAGAGGGAGTTCTGCAGAACTTAGTAATTACTGACAGAGGAATTAATATTTCAGAGCTGTATCAGCAATCCTAAGGGCTGAATGTGGCCTAAAAACCACTTTCATCAGGGGCTACCGCTGCTTTTTAAAAGAGACGATGTTATAAAGCTCTTGCTGGCTGCCTGCTGACAAAGGCACACCTTTACATATGCAAGCATTGATCACAGCAGTTGCTCAAAAGTCTCGGTATGAGACCTGTCCATCCGCAGCCAGCAGATACCGAGCATGCATATTTTTTCGGAGTCGTGCTGGTGTGGCTTGATGACAGAAACCAGCCTGGTTTCATATTTTCTATCCTACCCACCTTCTACCAACGCAGCAGCTGAAGAACCACCCAAATGTGTCCACTGCCATCTATTGGTAAAATTGCAGAGAGATGATGTTTTCTTCTTACAGTTCTGCACTAGAGAGAAACCTCTGGGACTTTGTGATAAGAATAAACATTTTTGAAGGCAGTTATTTGAACATCTGAGTCTAGAATGAATTTTCAGGGCATTTACTTCTCTTAGTACCTCCTTTGGAAAATTCGACTGTGCCATAGAGCCTACACGAATGCAAAAACTTTCTTTGTCCTGTTTGCAGAGGTAAGAAGGACTTTTTAATATGAGCAGTGGTGATGTTCTTGTGGCCATATCCTTTATGAACAGGTGCAGTAAAGCCATCCCTGTTTACCCGAGCTGAGGACATCAGTAGATCCCTTCCAAATGACCCGTGAGAGGTTGTTTTGTATTTTAACACGTAGTGCCCATTGAAGAAGAGAACACAACATCGTCAACCTGACAAGCATATGGATGTATGCGAGTGTGTAGGACTGACTAATGTATGGATGGAGCAGTGCTAGCTTAAAGCATCTGAGAAACTGATCTGCAACCTTTGGGTTGAGCTGCTTTCCAAACCTCACCATTTTCATGGGTGAGCAGGGCAGTACCGTGGGCTCTGGGGAGTTACTTCCAGTTAAGAGCAGGTTTAAGGAAGAAAATCCTCAATGCCCTTATCTTTCACTGACTCTGGGTGGGGGACTCCAAGGACACTGGTTTTGTGGGAAGGTTGCAGAGGAAGAGGAAAGCCCCAAACCATAAGGACCTGAACAGAAGAGAAGAACTGAACATAGAAGACAGTGTTGTGTCCTGATCTGAGGCTAATAATTCACCAGTCATGACTGTCCAACACTACCTTTTACCCCTTGATATCAAACCTCTGGGAAATGAATAGCCACAGACATAGTCCTCAGCTGCAAGAGCTGGGCCTAGACCAACTGCTTTCCCCTGGATCATCCCAGAAAAAACATTTCTGCCTCCGTCTCAACTATAAAGCAAAGGAAAGTGATGCCTCTCTGTTTCCATGAAGTGCTCCGAGAGCTGTGGGTGGAAACCTGCTCTGTCAGTTCCTCAGCAACCCCATTAAATCCAGGACACAACTAGACCCAAAAGGAGGAAAAGAAACATGTGATACGCTACCGGTGGAATATCTTGACAGAGAAAAAAAATCCCCAGCAGATACTGAAATGTGAAAAATTGCAGTAGCTGTATGGAAGTAACTGCACCTGTCCTAGTTCAGCCCTGTGCTGGGTTTGACCCAGAGCATGTCCTTCAGCCAGCAGTTGGGTTTGCTTTAGAGGGAGGTGGAAGGAGTAATGAGTGTAGGAGGATTAAAAAAAAAACAATGGAGCCTGAAGAAGATACCCCAAACACTTCCATGCATAAAGAGTTGCAAGGTGTATTCCTTTCAGTCTTTTTCCACTTGCAACCCTTTAAATGATCTCCATGTAGCCATGCCTCCAGATGGATCGATCCCTACTCAGGCTGCCTTTCCTCTGAGAACTTTCAGAGTCCCATGAAAGCAGCTTGAGAACCTCTGGGGCCCATGGGCTGTAGGTTAAAACCCACTGGGTTGGTATCACCCAAAGGATGACTCTGTTCCAGTCCAAAGATGTATTTGCAGCGGGTGACAAATAGATGGAGTAAGAACACAGCAATGATCAGACCCTGCTACCAGCTTGCCCAAGACCAAGACCCACCAGACACCAAACCAAAACAGACCTGGGAGAATTGCCTATCTCCACCTATATCTTAATCTCTAGAAATTAGTGAAAATCCTGGAGCTGATGTTTTAATTAACCTTTCCAAAATCCTTGCAGTTATTTCTCATATCCTTACCCATATCTATACTGAAGCCTCACCCTCTGGTTTTCAGAGCTCCCAGCAGTCAGCCAGGAGGTTTTAGGGATGGGAAGAGCTCAGGATGGACATACCCCATCTCATCCCTGAGGGGACAAGTTGGCAACTTAAGAGCTTCTGCTACCCTGTGCCGTGTGGCTGTTATTCACACCTTAGTCTTACAAAGTAGCGTGTTGGTCCCCTCCATCCCGGGGTACGATGTGAGCAGGGTCGATGTGAGCAAGGTCGGGTAACACACAACCACCTACGCATCCAAATGCTGTACATTGCTCCCCATCAGGCGTCATGTCTCTCCCCATCAAGAATACATATCTCCTTTCCCCATTCAGCCTCTCCATTGACCTTCTTAAATACATAAAAGCGTTACTTCCCCTACCTGGGGATTACCAGGTCTTTCTGCATTGATACTTTTCCCCTCCTTTCCCAGGCAATTCCCAGGGGGTCCCTGCAATGTTGGAAATGCAGCAGTCTTACCCAACTCCACGTATGCCAGGCCAAACAGCAGCCCAAACAGAAGCATCTTCATGCTGAGAGCAGATCCGTGCAGTCGGGGCAGTAAAGGAGAGCTGCTCCCAGGGAGCTTTATATGTTTTCCCACCCTCCACCTCCTGTTGATCCTGTGGGCGGATTTTCTCCGGATAATCAGGGGAGAGCTCAGCTCCAGTCTGGATTGGGATTTGTAGAGGAACAAGTTCCCCGAGGAGGTGACGTCACTGCAACGAGCAGTCTCCTACCATACCTTGTCTGTTCTTCACGTTTATGTCCTGGGGTTGGTCCCATGGAAAAGCAAAAACACAGCTTGCATTCAAGGGGTGGCCTAACGCCAGTGCTTGGATGGGGAATGTGACAAGGTATGTTTGTTCCTTCAAGTCTGGCTCTGCAAGCCAAGAGCTGGGTTGTGTCATGCATGTTACATTGGGCAACAACAGTCGAGATGCAAGCGGCAGCAGGCTGGGCTTCCACGCACGTTGTCTTAACCTCACCAAAGCCTGTGCCATGTTTTCATGCCTACTGCTTTCCAGGTTGGCAGGCGGGAGGCTGGTGTGGCTGGATTTTGCCTAAAGCATGTTTATTTTCCTAAATCCAGTGCAAAAGCAAGCCCAGTTTCTGGTTCCCAGGGACTTAGTTATTAACTGAGCCTTGGTGCTGAGCTGCTGGGCATGGGAGTCACTGAAAGGCCCGTGGAGGTGAACATGGGAGATAGTGCTTCCAAGTCTAGGATTTGGGTATGTCATTTTGTTTCAGGTCCCGGGTCATGCTGCCGGAGCAGGGCACTATGCCTTCTTTTGTAAAGCTGTCAACTGTTTATCAAATATTATTCTGAAGCTGGGAAATAAACCCAACATGGAGAAATGGATCAGTTTTCCCACTGCAGTACCTTCCTGATAGAAAAATTTCACTTTTTACATTTCTAAGCAACACTTTCAAATATACTAATTTTTTTTTTTTTTTTTTTTTTGTATATTATACAATATTTGTAGAAACAGCTTAAAGTTAGGGAGAAATGCTTTACTCCTCCCTTTTGACTGAGTCAATGACATTTTATATTTCACAGGAAAAACTGATAGACTTTTTGTTGGTTTTGTTGTGATCCAGGATGAAAAAAACCCAACATTATGCAATTCCCTGTAAACTAGCTGAATAAGACAAAGAAGATAAGTTTGTGAATCACTATGAAGCGCTCGGAGACTTCAGGATTGCAGACAAGGTGAGTGTACAGGCTGGGTTAATATCTGGGAGGTTGCTTGTCACAGGCTCGTTGTAGTGATGCACATGGGTATTGCTACCATTCCCATCAGCCTATCCTTTTTCCCAGTTTGAGAATGGGGCTTTGGGGGAAAGTGCTGCTCCCTAAAGAGTTCTCAGTAACTCGAGAAGCATTGCTAATGAAAATATCCACAGTCACGGATGACACAAAGCTGGTAGAGCTGGGCAGCAGGATCAGTACTGTGCTGTGGGAAAGGGAGGGAAAGGCGTGCACCCTAACACTCGCTTGGCTGTGGGAATGAAAACCGTCATTTATCTTTATTTTATCTCACTGTGCTGTCAGAGACCAGGTACATAAAGAAAAACAGCGTAAACATAGCTCTCCGGATATATAGGAAAAACTCCGCTCTGTGAAAGCCACCAGACCTGGTTACATCCAGATCCTTTCCTGTAACTGGGCGGTTCGTGGCACATTTGAGCAATATCTTTATTAACAGCCATGAAACTGGAAAAGATCCAGTACTTTAAGCATTCAAGGTGGTTATGCCTCAATAGGTAAGTACGGCGGGGTTGGCACTCCAGCGTTCACAACACTAAGACTGTTGTAGCTTGCCGAAATGGAGATGTCCACACGGGCACGTTGCGATGGTCTATCTGTACTTGAAAGGCATTACGTACTGAGAAATCCTTGGAATAAATCAGTGCGGTTGAAGGAATAGTGATATAAATAGGAAGCTAAATGAGTCTGTCCAACTCGGTGGAGGCTGTCCATCACTGTGGTATCTGGACATGGGATACATCAGCACAGTAGGATTGTTTGCCTCTGACCAGTGCAAAGCCACTTAACTCTGTCTAGTGGCTTGAAAAGTTTTGAGATCTGGTCATAAGGCAGAGCATCGGGAAGTCATCAGAGCTGAGGTTATTAAAGCTCCTGCAGGTTGGCTGAGTGTGCGGGAATGCCACAACTCAGGGAGAGAGAAGTTGGGAGCATGCCCATAAAATTGTGGAGGAAAGGGAAGACCTACAGGTATTAGTCGATCTAAAGACAACTAGGAGCCTCTGGTGAGATGGAGCCCTGGAAACAAAATCAAACACCAACAAACATAGGTGACGTCACGTTGTGTGTTGGGGTATAAGGGAGGCTGTAAGCAGGGTTATTATGGAAGTGCTAGCACCCTGGCATGAAGCCCTGGTGGCTTCTCACCTGGAATTTCACGGCCCTTGTCAAGAAAATGTAGGGTCCTGATGGGAAAAAACCCAAACAACGCAGATGGAAACTAATGGGAAGATTGGGAGAACAGGATCCACCCCAAAAGATGACACTAGAAAAAACTGGCCCCTTTTTAGCTTGGCAGACCAGAGGTTGGGTGGAGACGTTATTTTTTTCCCCAGAAATACATTGCAAACATTGAAAACAGAGCTACAGAAAGAAAAGCTCTGTAAGCTAAAAGACCACACTGGACTAGAGATGAGTTAAGACTGGCATGAATTAGATAAGACTGGCAAACAGAGGTAGGGTCTTAAACAGTAGGAAAAATTGGATTATTTCTAAAAACTAAGGCAGGGTAGAAATCCCACTTGCTTTAAGATGGAGCTTGATAAATACGTGAAAGAAGTGGTCTGATACAGCAGTTAGGACAGCCTCAGACAGCTTGTAGGACTCAGGAGGACCTAAATTCCCATCTGTCTTTGTCAGTGGTGTAATAAACCCCGAGCAAGGTTTTGAACACTGACTGACAGGAGCCATAAGGGACTTCAGTTGAAATGTCATTTCAGGTCTGAAGATCTGAGAATATAAATGAGGCATGGTGTGTAGGGAGAAAGACTTGCGTGCCACAAGCCTCTGCATTTTCAGTGGTATCAATCCAAACTACTACGAGCCTGTCCCTGTGAGACTGTCCTTGTTTATAAGGTAATCTAGGTGGGTATAATCTCTCTCTGCTTATCACATATGCAAGGAAAGGGAGATGACGTAAATTCAGTGTTCACAGGCAAGAAGGTAATGTGCTTTATAACTGTCTGATCTAACATCCGTTACAATTAATTCTTGTTTGAATGAAAAAGAAACCAAACTTTGTAGACATGTCCTGTGGCAGGGAGTGTACACCAAGCTTTGATAAGCTGTTCCAGTGGTTGGTTACCGGTCATGTGTAAAATTACCCCTGTGTAAAATATTTTTGCTCTGATTTATACAGCTTCCACAGCCAGTGGCTCTTGTTCCACCCCTCTACTAAACTTAATTGCTCACTGTTGCAACTTTCCTCTCCCCCATGGAGATGCATTTTGTCTAGGGTATCCCTTTGACAGACTTTGATGGGTTCTTTGACTCCTTCTCTGGAAAGTCTGTCCTCCAGAGCTTTAATCCTTCCAGTGGTCCTTCTCTGAACCACCTCTGATTTACCACTTTCTCTCCTGCATTGCCCAACCCAGAACTAGATGTTTTCTTGCAGCAACAGCCACTCCCGTCCCAGGTGTAAGCAGAATGGATCCTTCTGTCATGACATGAGCATCAAAAAAGCGTATTTGACACTGTGGCCATGGCATTGTAGCCATGGCGTCAATCTACCTGATGTCAATGTCTTTCTTGGGAGCTGCTTCACAGGACGAAGTCTGCTATCAGATTTCCAGATGTCATGGTGATGGCTGGAGTATAGGAAAATAGAGAGACTACTGATCAGTGTATTGAACCAACTTGAGTTCAGCTCCTGTGATTCAGAGAGGACAGATTTTTGCTGGGGACCATTTGGATGACTACATACGTGGGTTCTACGATCTTCATCTGTGACTCAGTAGTGGGAAACCATGCTGTCCATGACCATGGCTGCAGTGATGCTTGATGATGTGTTCAGCTAATCGAAGCTTCCACCTCTCACGGGTGTGCGTTAATAACAAGACTATAGGCTTGTTCGGGTGGAGTTGTTCTCCACCCTCCTGATGAAACTCTGCCACTGGGCAGAAAGGAATGCAGGTTTCATTAAGCTGGAGAAGGGTGAAAGTGTGAGCATGACTTGCTGAGCACCCTTCCCCCAGGAATTCTTTAGGTCTTTCTTCAGGGGCTGTTTGATACAAAACACACGTGTCCCCACATAGGGGAGTATCAAAGGGAAATCCAGAGTCCCAGTGCTGACTCAGCTAATCCGTAAAGAGCTCTTATCCCTTTCTTTCCATGCCTGTGCTTCATTTTGGTGGTTTGCACACCATGCCTGAAGATATGAGATGGGAAATTGAACCTCTCTAAGCAGAGAAGGAAATTGTATTCACATGTCCCAAATTCTGGCTTAAGCACGCTAACCTCTAGGCTAAAAAGCAGGTGCACTTCTGCAGATGGGAGGAAATCCTCCACACCCACTGTATTTTTACAAAAAGAAGTGAGCTCTGTTCAGCGTTCTGAGAGAGCAAAGGGAAGTCCAGGGACACGGACTTTACATCTACAGGTTCCTCTTCTAGCTGCGGCTGAGGACAATCCCTTCAGGCATCACCTTGCCAGTTGTATTTGATCAGTCCTGGGCACATAGGTCCCCCAGGCATTTGCACAAGACATGCAAAATGTCCAGCACATGGTTCTAGACTGCACTGCACAGGGATGGCTATCCACAAATCAGGCATTGCAGGGGTCCTTTAACCTGTATGAGTCCTACCACGAACTTGAGGGTTGCCGAGGACGTGTAGCATTTGGCATGGTCCCTGGCCCTGTTATGGCCTGAACCCACTGGATCTGTCCCACGCAATGCCCAGGCACACTCTGAAGCGTAGCATGGGCCAAGGATGTTTCTAATGAGGACATTCTGGTTGGAGGGATAAGAAAGTTCACTTCTGCAG